TTGTTCTAAGAATATTGCATGTACAAATTTGAAAATTAATAACAGCTAATGCTTACTGCAGATTACAAAAATATAAACAGCTTAGGTGTATTTTACATACTTTTATTTTTAGGATGTTAACATGGCCAAAAATGTAAAATGCTAACCCATTTGAGAGCTTCCCATTTACAAAGTATGTCAGATACAGCATCCAAATTAGTTTTCTGGTCATTTATGACTTAATTGGTTATTTTTATATAGTAACCATTTATTCCAGTTTGAAAAATTGCTCGATTTTCTTTTAACATCCTTAAAATTGCTTATTTTCATAACAGCAGCAGACCAGCTAGACAGTTTAATATTTTATGATACAACCACCTTATATAATCTACAGAAGAAATTGCACTCTCAAAACTTCCAGAGGGAAAAATTCCAGCACACCAACATTAGTTCAGATGTCCGTGTGAGAAAGGCAAGAAAAGATATGCAACGAGTGAAACTGAGATATGAACAAAAGCTAATTAGAAGTACTTTTAAAGACACCGCTAAAACACAAGGGATACTAGATGTGGCCAATGCAGACACAGGGTACATCCAGGGTGGCGGGGGAAATTGCCACCACACATCAATTCATTTTATATACAAATTATTTGAGCAATAAAAATAATGAGAAACTAAAATATGCTTAACATTGAAGAATTTTTAATACATGCTATGCAACCTTTGTTAGTCTAGATGGTCACCAAACATTTCTTGTAAGATGATACAAACTTCAGGCAGCAATTTGTTAGTATCTTTTTTTATAACTTCTTGGCATATTTCCTTCAGTTTGATTCTTCAGATGTTCTCTTAAATTTTCAATCAGGTTCACATCTGATGATTGGCCGGGACAATTAAGAACTTTAAGAAAGACTTCTTTCTCAACTAAGTCTTCCAACATATTGCATGTTTGGGATAATCGTCCTGTCGAAAAAAGTGAAAAAAAAAAAAAAAATACAACACCCCATCAGTGGGTATTGTGTTCCTTGGATTATAACCAATGTTCACTTTATCTACAAACAGGTTTGATCTCATTTAACCACAAAATGATAAATAGGCACATTTATTGTTCATAGGCAAAGTGATTGCATGCCTGAATAGGTTTTCATTAGTGCTACTTGGTGAGGTTGATATTTTCATATTTCCTACTGCTGCTACACAGTGTATATACTGTCTGGCATGTTACACCTATCCTATTCAGCTCCAATCAACAATAAACTGAGTAATTTCTGATAATATTCTTAGTGTTTGAAAATTGGCAAATTTCATACAGTTGATAAATTTACTTGCATTTATTTGATGAAACAATTTGCACATTACAGATATTTATTATTTAATTCTAGGTTTCATTTCACTGCATAATGCCCAACTTGAATTGCATCCATATTCCCAGAATTAAATCTACAATCTACATCAATACTTCATTACCTTACAATAATATTCTCCTTTTCATTCATCAGGACTGGCTATTTTGCTTCCCCACTTTAAATCAAATTTTAATATAAAATAAAAATTTCAATTTCTATCCTTTCCAAAAAATGGTCTATATACATATTACAAGCTGAAATGATTTTACACTGAAATGATTAGGCATAAATTTTTAGAGCAAAATTGAAAAGAGCAAATTGTGTAAATGATCCTCTTATATAAAACAACGTGACTTTAGATATTTATAAGTCATGGAGCCAGATCTCTCCTTAGTAATAAGATATCCTGTTATGGGGAAGGTGGTATTACTTGATGCCAATAATAAAATATGAATTGTGTTACCATAACATCAGAATCTCTTTAGTAAATAGGGATGAGACTGTTCATGCATTCTTTCTATTTTTGCTAGCTTTTATCAGATATTTTCTGGAGAGAAAAAAAAAGTGCACTAAATACAATACATACTTGAATTAAATTTTAGAAGCCAAGAAAGTTTCTTTGGCAACCGATTTAAGCAGAAATAAGCCAAATTCATGTGTTTTGCAAAGTTTCTAAAAATATTAAAAAAAGAAAAAAAAAGAAAAAAAAAAGTGCCTAAATACCAATATTTCTCAAAAATTTCAAAACCTTTGCTAAGTATTGAGTTGAGTCATAACTAATTTCTGTTAATTGTAATGATGAATGCATCTTCCCAACTATTAAGCATGTGTAGCAATTAAAAGATATTTGTAGTAAACTAACATTTATGGCATTGTACACTGGATTAAACAATAAATTTAATAACTCCACTAATGGAGGGACAGAGTACATTTATGTCACAATGTTACGAGTATTCAAAACAAGGGAGTATTAATAGTAAGAGACATTTACAAAAATATGTAGTGTTTTGGGTTAAGGATTGGTATGTACAACATTGGTTTGCAAAGTTTTGTTCTGGAAAAATATTGTTAGAAGATGAATCCAGATGAGGGCATTCATCAAACTTTGATGAAGCTCTAAAGTCTTAGAAAGCAATACATGGCAAAGTACTTAGGAATTAGCAAAGATGTTAAACACATCACAATATGCCAAAACTTAGAAAATATAGGGAAAGTCAGCAAATCAAAAAGAACAATGTAGATCATTGATAAACAAAAGATTATTTATGAATCAACTTAATACAATCATTAACTTGTAATATATTTATTGCTTTAATGTTTGTCAAATCCTATATATATATATATTTGGAAAAAAAAAAAAATCTGACAATGGTTAAAAAGTAACAAATAGGAAAACATTCATAAATCTAACATGTTTTACTTCAGAAATTTTTGGGAAATGAATTATGGAAGATAGTATTTCAAACTTTGCACCATTTGTTTTCTTTGGTCAGGTAAATCTTGTTTATACCTCATGGCATGATAATTCTAGTAGGCATTGTGTGTCTCCTAGTGTGTGTGTGTAATTCTTGAAGATGGCAGTTGGAAGAAATAGGAAAGTATGTGTGTATATCAAATTTCTAGTTAGTATCAGCAATGATCACGCACCTATCAGTGCATGTGTTAACTGTGGATTAAATGTATGCTATTAATTTTTAATTTTATTGTCATGATTTCTATTATTGAGGAAAAATTGTGCATATCAGGAAGTTTTTTTGTAAGGATAATAATAATAAAAGAATTCAATCATACTCACCTCAATATACCCATACTCACTATATTTAATAGTTAACACACACACACACACACACACACACTTCCATTTCCTCCTACCATCATCTTCAGAAATTAGACACGCACACAAGACAGGCAGTATAAATGCCCACTAGAATACAAACACCACAAGATATAAACATGTGAGATCTACCTGATTAATAAAAACAAATAGCACAGAATTCAAAATACCAAAACATTCTCTTCCATAATTCATTTTTAAAAAATTCTGATGATGCTAAAATAAAGTGAAACATGTTAAACTTATAAACGTTTTCTTCAGTGTTCCTTATTTAATCATTATGTTTACACATTCTCTAAAAAGGTATGGATTTAAATCAAGTAGAATTAAGGTAGTCATTTTTTAGTATTTCTGAAACTGTATTAATGAAAAAAAAATAATGAAGAAAACATTTCCGTCAAAATCTAGGGTATCCCAGAATAAATCTTTATTAACCATTTGAGCAGCCATTGATGTTTACATAAATCAGTACCAGCTTTAGATGTTTAGCAAACCATTTTTCTCTATTTGCTTGCATCTAAACTCATCAGGACTTTAAAAAAAATCAGTTGTATTACTTTTAAAATGGTCAATAATAATAATTGTAATAACAAAGAAAATATATTGTCTGTAACTGCCAGCATTTCAGCAGAATACTAAAGAGAGAGAAAGAAAAAAAAGGAAATTTTATTTAATATCAAATATTCACGATGTCAATGTTTCTTAGTCATGTTTAATGTAAACAAGGTGCAAGACTGAATGAAACAAAAAGAAAAAGAGTAAGCAAGGTTGTTTTTTGTTTTTTTTTAAGATAAATTTGATAATGGAAAATAAATTGAAATGAAATTTGTAACAAAATATCTTTCGAAATGTGTGTGCGTATATGAATCTACTGAAAATTAATCTTGTAATATTTATCTAAATTTACAAAAATTTTATTAAAATAATGTTAATACATGTGTATATATCTGTAAGGAAGGATATTTGTGTGTGGATTATAAGTGTGTATATAAGACTCAATAACTAAAACAAAATCTCTCTTTAGCAAAAAAGAAATAAAACATATGTATTATGTAAAGAAAAAATAAAAGAAAAAATAGTTATTCAGCTATAATGATTAAGTGAATTAACTGAGAAATTGTGATTCATAGAGTGAATAGGGTGGAAATAACTGGATTACCCACTGTCCAATTACCTTGAAGAGAATTAATACCTTGGTGAAATATAGCAGCAAATTGTTCACCTGGACATTTTTTTTGTATAAATCAATCATTATTTATTGCCACCATGACATCATGGACAACCATCACCACTGTAACTAGAGCTGCCTTTCCCCTTGCCTATGGCAAGGCCCCAACATTCCAACTATCAAATTCAAACATCGGTGTTACTTTATAGTGTGTTATGTTAAAGCCAGGCCTTAAATGGACAAAACTGAACATAGCAAAATGTGTCATATATTAATGTCAACATGAACACTTCAACCTATATACATATTGTCTCACATATTAAGTGTCCTTTATCCTTTCTGAAACCATTTAAAGATTTTTGATGTTACCAAAATAGTAATGAATTAATTATTCAAAAGGGTGACATGTTGAGTTATAGAAGCATATCTTATAACTGAGGAATAGAAAAAAAAAAAAACATCAACAGGCACCCTGATTAGTTTCCAGAAAAAAATGTTTTAAAATCTACATTTATTTATTATAATTTCAAATGTTTTTCAAGATATTGAAATTACAAGAACCTTAACAGAAATCTTTACCTGATATAATTAAAATGTATAATTGTTTCAGCATTGTATACAGTCCTAAGTGTCCAGAATGTGTGTGTGTGTGTGTGTATTATTGTTATGAAATTTATACTATTTCATATTTATCCACATAGAAGAAAACTTCAGATGAATACTTGACAGGTACATCTGCAGTAGTCAATACTTCAGTCACCTAGAAAAAAGAGAAATGAAATTGAAGTTATTTTTAATTTAATTTATAAAAGCCTTAAACTTGTTGATTATAATTCATTATTTCAAAATAAAATCAAAGTTTAACATTTACCAATAAGCTGTAAATTATAACCAATCCCTAAAGACTTTTCTGTGTAAACTCAGAGTGTAAGTACAGAGAAAGACTAGCTATTTATGGTCTATTTTTTTATTTTTTTTTTTTTATTTAATGATTTTTTTTTATCTGTCAATATATGAAAAATGCATAAGACTATACTTTTGAAATCACATTTTCTTACTTGCAAAGAAAAAAAAAAGTCAACCTTTTAAAATCAAAAAAGTGTTGTAAATACTCAAAATATTTTATTAAAGTTAATCTCTCCCTAAGTCTTACCTGAATGTCACAATAAGACTTGACTGAGACAAAAGAAACACTGACAGGGAAGAAATCTTCTGGGTGTCCAGGAATGCTAAATTCAAGGCTTCCACATTTATTGGAGGCATCAATGACAGGCAGACTCCAAATCATGTGGTTCTTGCTTCGGTCATATGTGTATTCTCCATCACAGTCAGTAACAATCGGTCCAACATGGCTGGTACTGTATAAATAAAAATAAAATAAGCAACTTTCTGTTTTTGTTTAAAATGTAAAAGTTAGGAATAAAACCATTTTCATAGCTTAATATTAATGGGAATTTTTTGACTGACAAATTTGAGAGCCTATTTAATTTTAATTGCTGAAATAATTGATAAAAAAATTCTAATAAATAACACAGTAAATGAAAAACAAGCTGCACAAATACAGACTAAATAGTCACTTACAAAAACCATAATAGAATTGATATTATCACTTCAAGTGAACAATTCAAATTATATCCTTGAATATAGAACAAAGAAAATTTAAACAAATAGAATGGACTAGTTTGTATAATATTGATAAAGATTTCATATATACTAGTTTAGAGTATGAAGGACTCAATACCAATGCATTAGAATTGAGATAAAATAAAAGTCAAAAGAACTTAAGAAATTTAAAGAAATCACAATAAATGAGTTATTTTCATGTGACAGTTAACTTGAAGGCAAATGCAATTTATAGTCTCTTAAAATATATATATATATATATATATATATATAAAAATAAAAAGAACAGTAAGATATATAATTCAGTGTTCTTATAGATATTTTTACAAAATAGTGCTCAATGTAAATTTACAGAGAATTAATATTATAAATTAATTGATTTAAAATAAGTTTTTTTTTTTTTTTGTTACACAGTTCTAACCATATTTCAAAAAATGGAACCTAAAGGCTTCTAATTTAATTTTGTAATTAAATTAAAGACATTAGTTCCATTTCATGCTCAAGCGAATTTTGGAGTAACTTATTTTTAAAATTACTGGGTTTTAAAGGCACTGCAAAAATTCATAATTTACGTTTCCAAGGATACAGAGAAATCCATTCATCCAGACAAGGGGTGGTTGCGTGTTCATTATCACTGTATTTTGATGTATCAGTTACTAGTTACATTTGGTAGGGGTAGGGATGTATTTTTCAATGAATTCTGACATCCGTTTATTGCATGTCGTCTGGATTTTTTTTTAAAAATTTATTAACAGCAAAAATTCTTATGGCATTTTTATCTATTTGTATACTTAAAGATTTTTGGTGGGGTGTTTAGGTTAGAATACGTTTTATTTAACTATGATTTTAAAAATATTTTCACTTTTAATTTTTAATATACTATATTTCTTTTTAAAACAAGTAAATGTATTAGAATTACTTAGAGTATGTAAAATTATTTTTACACCAAGTATGTATATTACCAGGTCAACATTTTTTTTTAAATTTGTATTTAAATATTATTTAAGTAAAATTTATGACAATGACGGCAAAAATAGCTAATTTATTTCTCTGATTTAGTAAACTTTTATTTTTTATAAACCTAGTAATATATAGTTTCTCATGTAAGTACAAAGGACACGAGTCATTCAATGGCTTACATCTACCTTTTCATATCAATTTCATTTTACTGTAGGTGTTTTATTGGATTCTAAACATCTTTTAAAATTGTAGTTAAATAAAACGTATTCTAACCTAAACACCTCTTTCAAAGTACTACAAGCACTTAAAAGAATCCAATAAAACACCTATAGTAAAATGAAATTAATATGAAAAGCTAGAAGATGTAAGCCATTGAATGACCCATGTCCTTTGTACTTACATGAGAAACTATATATTACTAGGTTTATAAAAAATAAAAGTTTACTAAATCAGAGAAATAAATTAGCTATTTTTGCCGTCATTGTCATAAATTTTACTTAAATAATATTTAAATACAAATTTAAAAAAAAATGTTGACCTGGTAATATACATACTTGGTGTAAAAATAATTTTACATACTCTAAGTAATTCTAATACATTTACTTGTTTTAAAAAGAAATATAGTATATTAAAAATTAAAAGTGAAAATATTTTTAAAATCATAGTTAAATAAAACGTATTCTAACCTAAACACCCCACCAAAAATCTTTAAGTATACAAATAGATAAAAATGCCATAAGAATTTTTGCTGTTAATAAATTTTTAAAAAAAAATCCAGACGACATGCAATAAACGGATGTCAGAATTCATTGAAAAATACATCCCTACCCCTACCAAAACGTAACTAATAACTGATACAACAAAATACAGAGATAATGAACCTGCAACCACCCCTTGTCTGGATGAATGGATTTCTCTGTATCCTTGGAAATGTGAATTATGAATTTTTGCAGTGCCTTTAAAACCCAGTAATTTAAAAATAAGTTACTCCAAAATTCGCTTGAGGATGAAATGGAACTAATGTCTAATTTAATTACAAAATAAAATTCAAAGCTTTTAGCCTCCATTTTTGAAAGATGGTTAGAACTGTGTAGCGAAAAAAAAAAGCATTTTAAATCATTTATATATATATATATATATATATATATATATATATATGTATATTTAGGCAGCAATCCTTCCTTTATGCATGTTTCATTAAAAACGACAGACAAGGTACTACGGTTGAGCTTTTTATTTAATTTTTCTTGTGTTCTGACAAGAGCTTTTTTTCTGGACAAAGAGTGTGTAAGAACTGTCCGAATGTTCTGTATTTCCGAGCTTTCGGCTATATCTTTAGCCATTATCAAGGATGATTCAATTATCAGCTTAGTAGAGTGTGTGTGTGTTCTGTGATGTTCAGTGTGGTAGTGATGTTTTTTAGTTTCGAATACGATTAGCACATTGTGGCTTTGTTCATAGTTAATATTGTTAAGAGTTGGCTTTTTTTTTTATTATTAGAGCTTCCATTATTTTTAGTCTTTTTTTTGCAAGTGGATGCAGTTAATATATTTGTGTTTTCTACTAGTATGTTCCTAATAGTGTCGGGTAAATCTGAGTGTGTGTTTAAATGTGTTCTGATGGAACTGTGATCAGATAGGTGTAATGTAAGACGTCTGGATAAACATGTGGTTGTGTAGCCGATGTAATTATTTATGAGTCCGGTTTGGTGAGGAACGCAGTTCCTTAAAGGGCATTTGAACTCATAGATAATGTTTGTTCTTTGTAATTTTGACTTAGTTGGTGTGTTGTTATTTTTGAGGATAAGGTTGGCCGTCTTAAATTTTTTATAATAGATAATAAGTTTGATTTTTTTATTAGGATCAATAGGAGTAGTATATTTCTTTATAATATGTCTTAGAGAAGATTCATCTTGTTTGTAATTAATATGCATTTGGTTTTTGTAATTAATATGCATTTGGTTTTTGTAATAAATGTGTATGTGATTTTTAGTTGTGTGTTCGCTATCGTTATTACTTGCTTTGGGGAGGAATAGTCTAATTTGTTGGTCTATAAGGTAGTTAGGGAAACCGTTGTTAATTAGTGTTTGTTTAACGTTGTTAAGTTCTTTGAGAAAGAGTAGTCGAGAGGATGAGTTCTGGTGGGCTCTATTTAGAAATTTTTTTACTACTGGCTATTTTTGTACCTAAGTGGGCATTCGCTTTTTGAAATTAAGGTGGCACGAGTTTTTGCTGGTGGGTTTTTTGTATAATGATGTAATGAAAGTGTTATTGTTGTGTTCAACGAGGATATCTAAGAATGGTAGTTTGTTTTTTTGGCTAAGTTCATATGTGAAATTAAGGACGGAGTTTTTCTCAAATGTGGTCTTAAGTGTCTCTATTTCTTTAATGTTATCAGCTAAAATGAAGATATCGTCTACGAGCTTAACATAGATTTTCGGTTTGTGGACCTGTGTAAAATATAGTATTTTCACGTAGGACATATAATAGTTGGAGAAGCATGGACCCAGTGGATTTCCCCATACTAACACCATTAGTTTGGGTATAAATATTGCCATTATGGTCATAGAAGGGAACTTTGGTTGTGCATGCGTGTAGTAATTTTTTTAGGATGGGTGGTTTGATGGATGGCGGAGGGATGGAATTATTATTGTATACGGAGTTGAGGATAATATCGATAGTTTGGTCGACAGGGACCAGGAAAATAAGTTTTCAACGTCCAGTGACGCTATTATACCTTGATTTGTTCCTTTGTAGTTTTAAAATTTGTAGGAATTCGTGGGTGGAGGTGATGCTGTAAATTGGTAGGTAGGTATGGAGTGATGATGTCGTTAAGGAATTTTGATAGCTCGTAGATAGGTGTTGGTATCTAGGAAATAATTGGTCGTAGTGGGTATCCTGGTTTTATGTGTTTTATGTTTCCATATAGGTATCCCGGTTGGTAATCTCCAACTATTTTTTGAATTTTCAGGGAACCGACTTCCGCGTTAGAGCTGTTATTAGCTTGTTAACGGACCTTTTTAAAGTCTCAGTGGGATTTCTTTTCAATTTAGTGAATTTAGATCGGTCGTCGACAATATCTTTTAATTTTTGCTGGTACTCAGCTTTGTCGAGTATGACATGTGTGTTAGATTTATCGGCTCGTCTGATGACAATGTCAGGGTTGTTTTTTTAACTCTTTCGCAGCCTTTTTTAGTTTTGGTGTTAAAATACTACTATGGTTGGTGCCAGGGGATCGGTTCTTCAAACCTTATCCTCAAAAATAACAACACACCAACTAAGTCAAAATTACAAAGAACAAACATTATCTATGAGTTCAAATGCCCTTTAAGGAACTGCGTTCCTCACCAAACCGGACTCATAAATAATTACATCGGCTACACAACCACATGTTTATCCAGACGTCTTACATTACACCTATCTGATCACAGTTCCATCAGAACACATTTAAACACACACTCAGATTTACCCGACACTATTAGGAACATACTAGTAGAAAACACAAATATATTAACTGCATCCACTTGCAAAAAAAGACTAAAAATAATGGAAGCTCTAATAATAAAAAGAAAAAAGCCAACTCTTAACAATATTAACTATGAACAAAGCCACAATGTGCTAATCGTATTCGAAACTAAAACATCACTACCACACTGAACATCACAGAACACACACACTCTACTAAGCTGATAATTGAATCATCCTTGATAATGGCTAAAGATATAGTCAAAAGCGGCCGGAAATACAGAACATTCAGACAGTTCTTACACACTCTTTGTCCAGAAAAGAAAGCTCTTGTCAGAACACAAGAAAAATTAAATACAAAGCTCAACCGTAGTACCTTGTCTGTCGTTTTTAATGAAACATGCATATATATATATATATATATATATATATATAAAAGTAAAGCAAAAATTACATACGGCATGGGTATAGTGATCACAACATCATTGAGTTCTAATGTAGGTTGCTCTAGTTCATATTCAATGTTTACATCACAGTTAGCCCCAGCATCTGAAGGCCAGCAATTGACTGAAGGAAGAAAAAAACCAAAAAAAAAAAAAAAAAAAAAAAAACTCATTCAACAGGGGTTAACAATTGATAAATAGTAATAAAATATTATAAAGTATTTTATATATATGTGTGTGTGTGTGTGTGGGGGGGGGTATAATCATTGATCATCAAATTTTCAAATGGAAGGGCTGGTTCACTGACATTACTGCCGCAGCAACATTCACAATTTGAGTTAACAGGCATCTCTACAACTTCCAACTTTTCTCAGACTCCACATTGGCAGCTTCTCAGTTTCAGATTCTTGCAGTAGCTGTGTCTTTCAGTGATGATGAGGTGGAGTATAACTTTTCAACAATATTATGAGCTATGAAAACAGTTGTTCTATGATTTCTGGATCAATTCCATTTTGTGAAGTAAAAGAGCACTGCTTGGTCTGCTGGGATAGTTATGTCCTTTCAAAAGATGTAACTGAAGAGATTCCACCTGGTTTCCAAAATCATCATAGAGATTGGTCTCTCTAGACATTTCTCGTATAGTTTCTTGTTATCAATCATTGAAGTGTATCATGTCCAAGACTATTTTTTTTTAAGTCTTTTGTAAATGGAATAACTTTTTCTCCTGACTTCAAAACACCCAGTTAGTGCCATTATACAGAATATTATAGAGTTTAACTTTGTCTTTACTGATGCATATGTTGTTCAGATGGTTCATGGCTGCTATAGACAAGATTGTCTTTCAATACATGTATTATTTCCAATAAGTGGCTCACATTTCCCTTGTTTTGTCTCTAGTAACTGTTGTATGGAGGCATGGTGGTGTAAATGATAGCTGCTTGGATTGAGAAATTAGAGAGCAGAGTTTGAATTCCAGTCAAGTTCATTACATTCACTTACCTGCTAATACTCTTGAGAAAGGTATCAATCCATCTACCCCCACCAGCTATGAGTAAAGGATAAATAACTCTGGCTGGTTCTGTCAGGCTATCTGGCACAGGAAACACAGCTGCTGCAGTATGTGGTGCCTCTACTACCCTGAGAGGTTATGAGACTTCTGATTGTGAACCATTTCATATCTGTATTTACCAGTAAACTAATGATCTTAGTGTCCCAGAATTAACTATCTATTTTAGTGAAATCGGATGATTTTTTATTTTTTTAATTCACTTTTATTTCTGTTCATCATGTTTAATGTGTATTAGAAGTTTATAACTTTCTAATTTTGTTTATAGCTTTATAATTGTTTTTTTTTTAAATTTTATTTTCATTCCCTTTCAGAATCCTATTAATAATGAATAAACAAGAATGCATCTTTATCATCACCCCCTTCCAGATTTCTTTGCATGGGGTTTCATAAAAAAACAATGTTTTTCTGTCAAAAGAGCAAGAGTTTAGCTGAGCTTAAAGAATGCATTCAGTTAGCAGTGCAGGAGATGACTCATGAAATGCTTCAAAATGTGTTTTGCAACATTAAGGATAGATTTGAAATTGCAGTGATACAGATGAAGCACATGTTGAAAATTTTCAAAAAAGTTTTTGATTTATAAATCTGTTTTGTATCATAATTAATTTTTTTTAAATATGCCTAATTTCATTGAAATAGTAATTTCTGGGACACCCTGTATATATGCTTGATTTGATTTACATCTGTGTTCTTCCCAACTGATGGATCTACATCATTAATGCAAACAATATTCCGATGAAATTGTGTATCTTCATTGTGTTAGAGATCCTAATTTCTCTCAGGATATTTGTTAGGCACAAATAGAAGAGGGGTCAAGATTGTTTCTTGTGGAGTGCCTATGTTACTAAGAAAGTTCTGCTGTGATGCTCTTTTTGCTCTGATAAAAAAGTATACATTGCTAATTTTTAACTTGTCCACCATGCAACAGTTGCTAGATAAGTTACTGATAATAACTTTACATAGCTTGAGCATCTTGTTTCTGTTGATGGTATTAAAACCTGCTTATTCATGTTATTTCAATCTGGATTGTGCCCATTTTTTTAGGCTAGCCATCAATACATCTGCTGTACTCCTGCTGATCAGGAAACCATCCTGGCTTGGCAAAAGATATTTTTATACTCTTAGTTTGATTCTCTCCAAGTTAATGAAGGAGAGATTTTTTTTTTTATTGTTTTTAAGATTAAGCAGTTTAAGATTTTTTTTTCTCGATTTACAGATGTTCACATTAAAAATACTTAGAGAATTTTTAAGAACATTCATTTTTGATTGAATCATGTAACTAAGCAAAGACCATTTTATTTTTCTACAATACCATGGATACAACTAAAGAAATTCATCCTGCCCAAAAGAAAATATTCTATTTTAATTGTGAAATTTCTTTATAATGTTAACATCTTTAAAAGTTGATTGAAGCTAACTAATTGTATAAGTAATTTTAAAATATATCAGAAAACAAAGCAATAAAAGTAACATTATATGAATGTTTAAAAAGTGTCAGAAAATACTTACTTGACAAAGGAATATAACTTTCATCCAAAGTTTGAAAACGCCATTTAAGCACACCAATTTCTTGGTGCAATGGGAATGGCTTTTCTGGGTTCTTTAGAGCAATATATGAAGAAGCATTGAACAACTTTTTGTCAATGTTTGGGTGGGTCTGAAAAATGAATAAGGCAAATCTTTGAAAACTATAGAAATGGAGAATTAACTGACTTGAATTTTAATGATTTCATTTTAAATAACCAGACTTATGGAAATTCTAACCTGGAAGTAGGAATAGCAAATGACATATCTATTAGGCCAGCATTCTACTGCTTGAATAAAGACTAAGAGATTTGTCAAAAATGTTTCTAATTATTTAACTAAGTCACAGGTCTTCAAATAATATTGGAGATGTCAAATTTATCTTTTGTTGTTTTAAGAGTTCAACATTTTTCTTTGAATTTTTAGCAAGACAGCTTCTGCTTTACAATGTAATACCTATTGGTGCAGATTTTACAAGTAAGTGTAGAAGGATCAAAATCCACAATCATGAAATTGCAAATTAATTTTTTTTTTTTTTTTTTAAGAAAAGGGGAAAAAAAAAAATCATTCATTAACTATTATAATTATTTGCCAAAATATAGAGTACTTGTCATATTTTTTTAAAGATTTTATTTTATTTTTACAACATCTAAACCATTTGTGTTTTTGATATGAATGACTTCAGTATCTAAAATTTGTACTAAAGCCAGGGTAGAACAACTTCCTGATTTTTAAGTAGAAAGATAATGTATTGTTCTGCAAAGACTTACTATTTTAGAATTGACACAAAGATCACTTAAAATCAAAAATCCATTTGGCAAGAAAGGCTTCCAAAATAATTACATCTTTGATAAAGTCTAAAGAGATATGGCAGGATTTTATTCTTCATTAAGCTCTTGGTTATTGGAGAAACAAACCAGGTGGTACTACATAAGATGGGCAGATAATTCTTGAGAAATAGGCTGTACTGTGAAAATGCATGGGAAGATGGAAAACTGAATGCTGGAAAAATTAATTTTACCAATCTAACCCAAGTTCAGCACAAATTAGATTAGATGGTGGGGATAGATATGTTGTAAGAGGCCCATATTTGAAAACTAAAATAAACATTTCAATCAGAAGGGGGAAAACTTTTTTTTCATGTTAGAAATTTTGTTAGTGTTGCATTAAGACAAATTTTTGTTCAGTCTGCAAAAACTTGAACAGAAATAAGAGCATTTCTTGATCTTCTTATTGACAGGGACTCTAAATATAATCAAGATGCTCCAGAATGCTAATTTGTGGGTAGAAAGCCATATGGGTGTTGGTTCTTTTTGAAAATGAAAAAGCAAGTCTCAGTGAGGAATGAATGCAATGATAAAATCTTCAACTGGGTCTTTCATTACTGGGAATTTTTACCGTTCAATTTGGGCAATTTAAAGTTTAAAGTCAGCCCACCCAAAAATCAGTATTAGTAACAACAATTGGATGCAACTGAGGCATCCCCAAATATGGGGGTTGGTTAACAATTTGAATGAGGCTGGCCCTGAAAAGGGCCGTTTTTGCGTACTCAATATTGTTTTAGCCTCACTCACAGTAGTAGTTGAAGAGGCGTTTCTCCTTAGCCATTGAGTCCTATGATTATCATTTTCAGCCTTGTGCGCAGAAGCATTCAGGTATGCTCTTCTGGAAAGCCAATGGCTTTGTTGATCTTCGGACTCAATGAAGCATTCCGAGAGGCATTTTGAGACAGGTGAATTGAACTTTCTAAAGATGATTTGTTATCTCTTATTCGCATGGCGGACCTGGCAGCAGCAGTTTTGCGACTTAGGCAAGTTCTTTTCTTTGGTGGCATGTCTTAGGCAAGTATGAATTGTTAAACAGAATGCATGGGTAAATACCAGAAGAGAACGCTGTAAATCTACAGAGATCACTAAGCTCAAATAACTTTAGGAAAAGTTAGAAAAATAAATGTAGAGTAATAAAAAAAGCAAGCTTACTTATTACTATGGTGAATGCAATACAAAAACTGGCAGGACAATAAAATAATTTAAATTGAGAATGGCTATAAACAACAATGAAAGCAACGCCTTAAAACTGTAGTAGTAGGCTTTATGCAACAGAAAAGCTAACCTCACTTAAGAGATTGGCCAAGAGAAGAGGAATGTGCAATTTGAACTCAAAACCGACACTATCAAACAACAAAAAAAAAAAAAAAAATTCATTGAAATCGAATGAAAACTGTGGAAATGCATAAACAATATCCGACCACACACATTTTGAGAATTATTGATACAGATGCAGTAAAATTTTGAATTTTAGTGAAATTCTGTGCTTTGTTTATTTTTTCAAATTTGAGCCTTACAACAAAAAAAAAAAAAAAAAAAAAGAGGACCTCACTTATGCTACATAAAACCATATATATTCCTGAATGTACATTTAATGGACTTTCAAATTACCGAAGTTGACGGAGCATTTTTTTTAAAAGCCAGGTTTTAGTTTGCTGTGTATCTGCTAACATTGGATCAGAGTTATTCAGAAATGTGGTACTTTATTATGTTTATTACTCTGTGTTTGAACTTATGAATGGTAAAATTAAAATAAAAATTCATTTTCAGGTGTGTGTGTGTGTGTGGGGGGGGCAACAACAAAAAGAAAAGGTAACTTGTTTGACCTGGAGGGCTATTGCATTCTTATCTTGTTAGAATTTGGGTCTAATGTCTAAAAATTTTGGATCTTTGCAAGCATTTCTGTGATTGTTTTTCTATATTCCAGGTTTTAGAAAGACCAAACCCCACTTGTGTCATAAAATCCATATACATTCCTGAAAATACATTAACCTTCAAATTATAGAGGCAGCACAAAAATTAGAGCATTTTTCTGATATTCATATTTTAGTTTTTGAAATAAGAATTATCTAAATGTCATGATGAAGGAAGACATACTGCTTTTATTTCCTTGATATGTTAAAATGTTTTCCTGTAATTATAGAGATAAAGATGAAAAATCAATCAAGAGAATATCTCGCAAATTATTACAGCCTTGTGTATAAACTTGAAGAATAGTAGTGGTAGTGTTGCAATAATGTCCTATCCTACAATTGATGAAATCTGCTAAAAATCTATTGCTAAAAAGTTGAATCTACAAGCTGGGGAGAAACTGAAAGAAATCGTTACATATCAACTGAAAGTATATGTCAAAATCCTCCAAGAAAGGTAACAAGTACAGTGGCAGAACAAGGATTGCGATAGCAATGAATTCAAAACTACTTGGCAGATGCTGCCACCAAAATGCAAGAAAAATTATGTGATGATGTTTGATCAAGAAAGTAAATACTGAGAACATAAGCTAAATATGAAGAAATGGAGAAATTTGGCAAGGAGGAAATTATTGAAGAATAATGTATTCTAAGACTCCTTGTAGCTATGAGCAAATCCAAGGAGGTAAATTATAGAGAAATGTTGTCATTGATGGCAACCAACAAAATTCCAGTCAGTCAACTCTTGCTTTCTATCAGAATTGTAACTTAGGATGCCAAACATCCATCAGGCACCATCATCAAGCTTCAAAAATCACCCTTTCAAGGTATAAAATTAGAGAGAAGCAAGTATCAATGATATCCACAATATATAAACTGTTGGATTTACAAGTAGGTGTTCAATTTAAGCTGGTTGATCTAATTCAAACTATATTCCTTATTCTTGAACAACCCCAAGACAAAAATTGTGTATTGACTCTCAGATAAATTTGAAGATCTTTGTTGTAAACTTTATATATATTCATTTATATTATGCTATGAAGTTTGCTCAATGAATGAGTTGTTGAATAAGTTTTTATCATCCTGAATTGAGAGCTTCTTGAATTACCATATAACTTATGAATTCTCCAATTAATGTGATTGGGCTCCAGACTACTGAATTTTGAAATTTTTTTTTCAGTTCTTTAAATTCTATATTTCCAAAGAACATTCAACCACTACTTTGCCAAGTTGAAATAAGAAAATTTTAAAGCCCAAAGTTTCTTGCTGCTGAGTCTGTGATATGTTGTGAATAATGTCAACACTTAGTATGTCAGAAATAGTTTGGTAGGCCACAGCATCACAGGGTCAAAACGATGACTGTAACCCTTGACAAATAAAGTTATAACAAAAAACAATATCATAAAAGTTGCTTCCTTCTTTATTGTTCTCATAGTTTACACTATTCATTCTTTAGGGCATGTAATCAGCTTTGCCTAAGACTTACTCAGATCAAAAACTTAAATATGTAGATAGGGAAGACTGTCAGCATGTTCCTACCAGCATTATAAAGAGACCAGAGCATTATAGAAACTTAAAATCTATCACCATTTTCCATGATTATTCTTTTTTCAACTAAGTTTCATTATTGACATATTAAATTCATAGAATTTTTTGTATTTCTGTTAAAAGTTCAACCTGGTATTAAGAATGCTAGGATTTTATTAACTATTCCCATTCAGAATATATCAATTATTGCATTTTACTTTATAAATTAATATTCCAATAATGAAATTAGTTATTAGTTGAAAGAATCAAAGAAATGGAAGTAAATTTAAAACTTCAGGTAATGGTTGTCTTGTTAAAATTAAAAATTTAGTTTTTGCTGTTTTAAATGAGTTGAAAGCATAATTTTTTGAAAAGCAAAATATAAACAAGTAATAAAATAAATAAAAAGTGACTAATTCAGATTATTATAAACAGTAAAAAAAAATAGTATTTTTAAAGATTTCATCTTCTATTCAAGTTAGAGGTTTGAACCATGGCAGAATTAACTTGGTTAAATTTTAATGTCCAAATTGTTCTTGGTCAGAAAGCACAACATATGTAGATATGAGAAAAAGTATTCTATCATAATTTCTCGAAATCCTTTGATGATCCAAAATTAAAATAAAAGAATTATTACTGCTATAAAAATTAGTGACATTAACTCTTAAAAAGCCCTAACCTTCCTCACTGATATCACAAGAAAATCTAAATGCAAAATTAGCATCTGATTAAAGTTTATATTTTCAGTTGCTTTTGACCTGATAAAATAAAGGGTATTTTTATAGTTTGATTATTTTTGCAAAATATTCTGGCTATTCCAAAGAAATTTTTATTAAAAATACATAAATCATTGAAGACAATAGAACTCATGTTATTGTTTTGGACATCTCAAGACAGTTGTTTTAAATGAAAAAAAATATCTGTCTATATCTCCGAGATGAAGTATTGATTATTTACATTATTTGGGCTTATCCTTATCTTCATTGCCATATTCACGTTTCAGTTGTTGTATGCTCAGGCCTTCTTCAGATGATTGATATTTCAAACCAAACCCTTTATGTGTCCTTGAGGCCCAATGGATAAAGATGTTGTGATCCAGTGACTAGATCCAAAGAGTCATGAGTTCAATACCAGGCTACAGCAGTGGTGAACCAAAAAACTTGGAGAGTTAAATGGAAATAACCGAGACATCCGGAAGTACCATGACCAATCTACCCCAGTGGATGATATAAAGAGTTCTGTTTGAAATTCCTATCACCTGAAGAAGGTCAGAGTGTACAACGGCCGAAACGTTGTGAAAATGGCAATGAAGATGAGGATAGCAGTCCAGTAATGTAAATAATGAAAAAAGTAATTAAACTTACCTGAATCTGTACACCTTTGTTGTCATTGTTAAGAATACCAACTTTGATCTTTCCATATTTTTCATCTGATACCTTCAATTTGACTAGACCAAACACCTCAAGGTTTTGTAGGCCTCCATCACGACCAGCCTGCACTACAATTTTCTCTTCTACTCGTAAGTGGACACTAGAAAAAGCGAAGTTAAAAACATCCTGAATGGTTTTATTTTTTTCTTAGGAAAGAAGAAAATAAGAATCAGTATGAAGCTAGCCTGATGCTGGTAACTGATAAAGAGCATTACAGAAGATATGAAAAGCATGTCTGCATCCTCTATAGAAATGTTCTGGTCATTTAATATTAACAAAAAAGTAGTCTACCTAAGACCCCCCCCCCAAACATTCTTCAGCATGCGACGAACAAGTTTTGTCAGGTTTACATTGCTGGTCACAAGAGAAGATGCAACATTAAGTGTATTTAAAAACAACAACAAAAAAAAATCTTCATAACTTAAAATGTTGACAGGTACATTTAATTTTTTTTTTTTTTTTAAAATTTACCTTGGAGAAATGTTGACAACTTATTGGTGAGTTAAGTTGGGATTAAAAACAAATCTGGAACTAATTTTATGTACACAAAGCTATTTTTAACAGCTAACATCATGACATTTTTTTTTAAATTAAAAATTCTAAAAAATATTTAAATTATTGCTGTTCAAAACTATTTATTTTTTTTTTATTACCCTTTATCTTTTTTCATCTCAAGGTCAGACTACCCAAAATGTCTTTGACTTGAAAATAGATTCAAAGACTTAACCACTTCTGATTTTTAGCAGTTTTTTTTTCATGTCATCTGAGCTTAGCATTTTTATTTTGATTGTAGCAAAGATTCTTTAGGTTCAGACAAACATTTGAGAATCTTGAACAAAGAGGTCCCTTTCTTTGTTAATAAAATCTGCATGTTGGTTGATATTCATAATGTATTTATTTTGTTTTTATTTAACATTTCTCTAAGGATAGCAATTTCAATGTATGGTCTTATTTGGGGTTTGATTAGAAGAATATACTGCACCATACCAAGAATTGAGTTACATATTAGCACATTTCTACTTTCATCATCTAAACAAAGGAGTTCAAGTATAAATTAATAAATGTTCCAGCAACCAATGTGCTTTTGGCAACTATTCTAATGTTTGAACTTCTAAAAAAAAAAAAAAAAAAAAAAAAAAAACAACAGGTATGTGCTTGCCATTTTCACCAACTAAAGCAATCTGATAGATTAGCAAATCCAGTATTGTTAAATAATAGTCTAGTAGATTAAGGATAGCAATTTCAATGTACAGGGATTTCAAGGAGTTGAGTAAACCATCAAGCAATATAAATGTGTTCTTTTGTGTCTGGGATCTGCTCCTCTGGATAGGTAGAGATGTATACCATGTGAATATTGATAAACTAGTTAAGTTAAAAATCCCTTTGTTGATGTCTATCTCTGAACCAAAACCAACTAGCAAACACTAGACAAGAGAAGAGGGAGAAGACATAAACATTGTATTAATTGGTGTAGTGACCAAGAGACCCCCAGTGTGAATGGACTATGCAACAGTATCATCGTAAACAAAAAGCTCTAAGTTTTCAAGGTTGCTTAAATCAGGAACAATTACTTTCCTCTGTGCCTTAACTGACTTGAATGATGCAGATTTAGTTTTGTTTGAGTTGTTGGCTAGTTAAGTTGACCAACCAAATTTCTGACTTCTGTAACAATCTATACTTTACACTCGCCAACATATTAAAATTTGTTGGTTCTTTCTGATTTAGGTAGTATAGAACACTCTTAAACTTGTAAAACAGAAATTGCCAACAGGAATAGTGATTTATTGTTCAGATAGCATGTAAAAATGACCTGGTCATACTTTGAAGGAACTACTACTAGCTTTATTAGTTCTTGTTAAATACCATGCTTGAGGCATGTGTCAATCAAGAAACACATTTTGCCAACTTCCAAAGGTAACAGACATAAGTAGACTTATCTATAAAGAATAGATAGAAAAGCAGGTTTAATGTCTCTCGACTTACAAATTCATTTGAGATTATTCAATTGCAATTAGATGCCCTTCCTTGGAACATGTACAGGGAATCACTTTTAATGGTACCCACTTCAATATTTTGATAACATTTTGCTACTAGTCTTGCCATAACATTTTCCATGAGATTCTTATTTTTTTACAAATCCATTTCATATCTATTCTTGGTTGACTTATCAAGAATTTGTTCATATATTTTGTTTACTAGTATCCTAATTCATATACTAATATCACATTTTCATTATGTCTGCTCCATATCATCTATTCTGAGGCACTATTCAGTCCAACCAAAAGTGTTCATCCTGAAAACATTCATCATAAATTTATTTCTTCCTGTAGCTTTGTCTATTCTGCTTATCACATTCATTTCCCTCCATTCTCCTTCATTATCAATTACATCTTATCACTTGTCTTAGTTTAGGAAGCTCAATGGTTTATTCATAAGCTTGGAGTCTTACTGTAACAATATTTAACATGGCGTATGTATGAAAAGAGTTAAACAGACAAAAATGGTTAAAACAAAACGATTTTAAATTTTTGTCAGAAAGAGAATTATTTTCCCAGGATATGGAAATAGATGTATGAATTTTGTTGAAAAAGTTAAACAATGCGATTCAGCGAACAGGTGCAGGATCAGAGGCCAGAGGTTAAGGTCAGCTGTTGAAAGATGTTCGGCTTGACTATCTGTTGAGAGGATTGTTCACCAAAATTTCCCTTAGAAAGAAAATTTCCCCGAGAAAAAAAATTATAATTGTAAACAGAATAAAGGCAGAAGATGACGTCAGAAAGGCTGACATCATATGATGGCTCCTCCTGAGAGAAGAGGGGATCTTCCAAAATTAGAAATGTGAAATAGTAAATGACTGGTTGAATTTTGGGAGATTTGCATAAAACCCACCTATTCGCCCACACCACACCAGTTGAAAAGGACACCCATAAATACAAGTGTCCACATGTGCCAAAGTTAGTTGGGGTCTGTTAGTCAGAGAAGGTGGGACCAGCCAGTTGCAGTGAGGTTGCGACTGGGAGAAAGATTTCTGATATAACGCTGCTTGCCAACCTAATGATAAGAATAATAATAATTATCTGCTGAAGAAGAAAAACTCCGATGAAATTCTTGTGCCGTCCGTGAAAGTACAAACAATAGCACTTGAAGTTAAAACCAGTGATTTTCGTTCCATCGCCAATTATTAGAACGGGTTGGGAAAAAGAACAAAGAAAAGAATTGTAAATATTTTTTTTTTGTTATTCTGATATAAACATCATATCATGACTTATTTGGGCGCTGTCCATTTTATTTTTCAATTTTGTATGCACGTGTTCAACTATTTGGTTTAGCGTGGTTGAGATACCCCAGTGGAAATTCGGCTTGACCCTCTTAAGATCAAAATCACAATGTGGATAAGAGAGGTCACAGTTGAAGAGGTCAACTTTGAGACCAGCTGCTGTGTCAAATGCTATCAACGACCGACGAGTGGGCTGACAGCTTGTTCTCTGATACCAGGATCGATCCTGACCAAGCGAGCAGACTGGGATAGACCCTGAGTACTGCCATACCTGGTGACCGAAGCAGACCAGACTCTGAATCCGTCATATAATTGGTTGCCATGACCCAGCTGCAGCCCTGAATACATCATATTACCTCAAATATAACTTTTTCAATATTATCTGATACAATATCACCTTTTAACTCAACTCACTGTTTCCCCAGCATGGTTGAAGGAACACTATATTTATTGCTGCATGCATTGTATTGAGATCATTGGCCACAATTATATTAAGAGATACCTTCCATTGCAGGAAGCTGATCATTTAGAACTGTGTGAAGATGAGAATTTCCACAAAAAACAAGTTGACTGGGGCTATACTCATTGATATTAGGAAGGGTAATCTTAGCACTAGCAACCCATACTATAAAAACCTACAACAAAGTTACAGTATGCATTTTATATGATGTTCTTCACTATTTCTTAAAATCCAACTGTATTTAAATTTTGGGCTATGTCATGAAAATATAGACGATTGAATTCTTGCCCATTATATGTAAATATAGATGAAAACATGCCACCTAATATCTGAAGAAAGCTGTAATATTTAATTACTTTTTTACTATGAAGTTTCACAGACCCACTACTCTGTACCATAGTCAACAAAATACATAACTTTTGGATCTGCTTCAGTTTTTAAAGCTTTTCATTTCTGACAATATTATATCTACCTAAATGAATTGCTGAAACTGTATCATCAGTGCAAGTGACACCAAAATATCTTCACACGATCTGAAGTTGTTCTAATATAGCTTGAAGATTTAGCTCATTCACTGTGGCTCTAACAAATCTTTCATTTTTTTGTGATGTTAGCTCTGTACAGATTCCAATAATATTGTAATTTCTCAATTTTACTACAAGAAATTAAATTCAAAACAAAAAGGACAATTATACTTAGAATCAGAAAGAGACAATTTAAATTTTTAGGGCACATAAGGAAAAGAGCTTGAGGAATTTGACACTCCAAGGACATATTGACAGTTAAGAGAATCAGAGGAAAGCAGTAAATAACCTACTTAATAAGTTTGTGTAAATGACTGGCAGAACAAGGATTAAGAGAGATAGCAAAATTAGAGATGTACTGAAGTAATTAACTCAATTCATGGTAAAGTGGCAAGCCCCATAGTGAAACAGAAGCCAAAAGATTTACATTTTGATTTTTTTTTCTAAACATTTTACCCAAAGCAAGGAGATGAAAGGAGTTACTGAAGGCAAAAGAAACCGAGAAAACACTATTGTGTAGAAAGGATGATAAAAGAACAGGAAAGCTGATGTTGCACTTAAATTTTTGAATATTATAGTTGACAGGAAGGCAAGAAGCTGGAAGAGTTCCACAGGTAAGAAGTGCAAAAGAAACTATTAGAATAGAATTTAGTCACATCTAGCAACTTCAGTGAAATCATGAAACCTAGCTGTCAATCTAATACTATGTTTAAAATCTTAAAATTTATTGCTTATAAAACAAAACTAAAATGGGGATGCATAAATCCTAAAAAAAAAAAAAAATATATATATATTTGTTATTTACCCTTCTTGATTCAAGGCAGAAGTGGACATCTTGCTGACTGTAGATGGAGCAGACATTGGTGATGTGACATCTACAAAATATCAAGTGAAAAAAAAAAAAAAAAAAAAAAGAAAATAGATAAATTCCTTTAAAAATAAATAAATCAAAGTGAAACTGAGTAATACAAATCAACACCTTTTCAGAATGATATAAATGTGCTAATTACAGTTTAATTATATTAGTTTTATAAATACTGGGTGTAACAGAAACACCACTCACATAATGGTAAGACATTAATGGTGATGATGTGTTCATCTAGCTAATGTCTTACTGTTATGTGGGATACATTTCTGCTGCAGCCTGTATAAAGAATTAAAATCCCAACTTTCTGAATTCAGAGTGGTTCTTCTAGACTGGTTACCACAGCTAAAGAGCTTAGTTTGGTCTATTATTTAACCCATAGCTGAGGGAGGGGTGAAGAAATGGATTCATACCTTTTCCAAGGGTATTTGCACGTAAGTGAATTCAATGAACCTGACTGGAATTCAAACTTTGATTTCTCATTTGGAAATGTTATCCATTATGCACCTGCTAAAAAACTTATAGGGCTAAATTTAGTAATACTGCCAATGGCTTTCCTTGATTTCTCCAATGATGTTTTCTAGTATAAAATTCAGAAACCAAAATGCTCTCTAATAGCTATTTTGTTCCTGAGGATGACCAAAGAAAAGTGCTAAGAATTATGGACAATTCTTGCATGGTCTTGAACCAATCATTCATTTCCATGTACAAGCTCTACAGAAACTACATAAAGTAGTGAAGTATTCCTTCTTTGTCATATTCAACAAATAATGTCAATGAAAAAAATTGCTGTCCAAATACACATTCAAATATGAATATATGATCATTTACTTACGTTCTCCTTCTGATTTGAGTTGATCCACAAAAGTATCTACATCTTTGGTTTTGCTGCCAAGTTTCATAGCTTTGCTAAGACCAGATGGTTTACTATGGAAAATACAAAAGAACAGTTAGATTTAGAAACACAACACATTAGTGGATAATTTTTATACATAATTGAGCTATTACAGAAATTGCTCAAAATAAATTTAACTATTTAATAATACAAAATCAAATTGATTTATTTACAAACAAATGGCTTCCTTTTATGAAATATGTATCAAGTACTCCCAACTTATTTTCAATTAAAATATTACATTAGATTTTTTTTTTTTATAAAATGTTTGGTAATCAAATAAAAAAAAGGTAAGGAAAGCATTTCATTTGCATCTTCTACATGTTTCTGCTTTCAACCTGTCTGAAATATTCTTTTAGTTATGTTCCTCACAAGGAAGAAGACTGCAAAAGTGAATTTCTGATATAGTGGCAATTACAAATATTTATAAAATTTAAATTTATTAATTTGACAAGTCCAAGTCCTTTGGCCATCCGCTCAACACTAAAAAAACTCATTTCATGGACAAACTCACTACCCAACCAATATGTAGTTTGCAATTCAACACACTTCACTTACCATGGCTCCACACTCATCAGATTGTTCTCTCACCATTGAAATAAGCAGCTGCATCAACAAAGCCATTACAAACTTTGGGTGGATACATAAGAGTTTTTGAAAACAAAAGATCAGCATCATGGTTGCTGTGTACAAGGTTGTAGGTATCTATCCTCCTTACAAAAAGCATATCTCAAGCTTGGAGGTCTTGTGCCTTCAAAAGATTTTGGGCTACCCTGGAAGGAATAAGTACCTAACACTGAGCTTCTATATGTCTAACAACATATGTATGGAAGCAACAGTGCCAAAAAACACCCTCAATGGATAAAGTATACCATGCCAGGCTCACAAGTACTCTACCAACTGACTGGTGATCAAAAAAGATACTTTAAAACTATGTCAAAGACCTGAAGTGCTGCAACATAAACCCCACTTGTTTTAAATCACTTGCTCTTGACAGGCTAGGCTGTATTCTGTTAAAAGTCAAATACTGACTGGTATGCCCTATGGCAGGGATGGTGCAAGGGTCTTGTGCCCCTCCTGAATCTTTGATAAAAGCACCTCCCTCCAACTACATCTCAATATTGATAAGGTAGTATTCATATAAAATACAAATTTTATTGTAACCTAATTATGTACAATAATGGATTGTCTGCAATATAGGTGAACAATTATAGTAAAAAAAATTTAAATAAATACAATGCATCTAAATACAAATTGGAGACATGTCATAATAGAACATGACATCTTAAATAAATCAACAATGTTTTGTGGCAATTTTTTAACATCAACTGGAGATTCTTCTTGTTATAAAGTTTAATAAATTTTAACATATTCAACATTATGGACAATTGATTGATTAATTTTACTTTATACCAACCCAGATGGATCACTTACTGTCAAAGAAGGTTTTCAGGTGAATAATTAGAATTCTTTTGACAGCAAGGTATTATATAAGGGAGAAATTCCCCATTTTAGTAATTGTAGTATTTATTTAATGGCATATGGTTCCTAGCATGAGATACATACTTTGGTTCCTCATTTTTTAGTAGATGTTGGTGGGTTATGTATGCATGTCCTATATGGAGATTAGCTAGTATAACCTCCTCTCTTTAACTTTCTGTAACTTGGTTGTCTTTCACTAATGATTGGTTGGATGTTGAGTAGTTTGTTGTTTTGATAGATGTTCCATAATTGCTGCTATTTTTCTTTAATCATCCTGTTTATGGTGGGTCAGAAGTCAGTGCGTGGCACCTTTACATTTGAGAGGGCCATGTTCAGTGATTCCTTTGCTATTTTGTTGGCTTTTCCATTCCCTTGTATGCCAATACGGCTTAGTATTCAGCATAGAACTATTAGAGCATCTTTTTTCTTATAAACAGTGTCAATTCTATTTAGTATTTTTATAAGGGGTTTCCCATGTTTTTATTCTTCAGGGCTTTGAGAATAGATTATGAATCTATCTGACCCACTGGATTCTATATCTAAAGCCAGGTGTATAGTTGGTCTTTGCCAGACAATCATTTTTGCATTATGTTGTTAAACATAGCAGCGCTTTCAACACTGTCCAAGACTTTAGAGCCATCAGTGTATATGTTTATAATTTGGGTGAGCGCGTAGAACATTATGGATTTCTTCTATGTAATTGGATAAGTTAGAATTAATTTTAGGGTACTTAGTAAGGTTTAGCAGAATTGTAGCAGGTTTCATTAAATTAGCGTTGGATTTATTTGTCGATTAGATATTTCATGTAAAAGCCAAAAGGTTTGATAGCATTTTCTTTTTTTTTTTTTATCAATTAGAAATTTGTATTTAGGGTTAATAGTGATATGCAGGGTTAGTTGGACAGGATTTCTTTGTCAACCAATATATGAAACATCTGTCTGCCAATTTGGTTCTTATTAGAGTTCTACATAATTTCAGGAGCGATATTCAATCTGTTCCCTAAATTCTTTGAAGAATTTCTGTTTTACCTATTTTAAGTGGGGGAATGAAAAAGTTTTTTTTATCAAAAATGGATTCCCAGAAATTTATGTTGGTCAGTGATTTCAATTTCTGTTCCTTCAAGTCTATGAGTTGGATCATTGTCCATTTTTTTTCAGATTGCAGAAACTGATACACTTGGACTTTGAGGTCTGAGAGAGTTGATCCTCCACAAACTTTGAAAACTTCTATCTGATAAAAAGTTATTTATCAAATTGAGTAATCTGCCCTTTAATCCAAGATTGTATAGGTCCATTATTCCAGGTCTCCATGTGGTTTCATAGGCCTTTTCTAGATCAAACAAAATGGCTATTCTGTGTTCTTTTTTTAATAAAAGCCTCTCTAATGATTGTGTATAGGTATATTATGTTGTCTATGATACCTCTCTTTTGTTTCAGAATCCACTCTGGAGGTTGGTAATTAAGTTTCGAGGTACCAGTTCACTATTCTTTCTAGAGTTTTGCATATGCAACTTGTTAGGAGTCAGAAGTTTTTTGGGTCTGATTTGTGTTTATCAGATTTTGGTATAGGGATTACAGTAGCTTGTTTCCAGCTTTTCGGAAGTTTGCCCTTAAACCATATTTCGTCAAAGATGTTTAACAGATATTTTAAGGGAGGGTTGTTTAAGAAATTCATAATGAATTTCATCTGGGCCAGTAGCTGTATTATGTGATTCACTTATAGAGTCTATAAATTCATTTAGGGTAAAAAGTTGGTTATAATCTTCTTGATCGCTGATTGAGTTAAAGATCAGCTTATTTTTTTTTCTGTATCTTGTTCAAGTTTTTGGAATTGTGGCATGTAACTGTCACTGGAAGAATTTTGTTTAAAGGTTTCTGTGAGTAGATTTGCTATATCCTTTTTGACTGTTATTTTTATGTTATTTTGAGAAAGGCAATTTAAAAGAGGGGACATATTTTTGCCAGTAATTTTCTTTATATTCCAGATATTTTTTTTTGGTATGGGAGTTTATATTATTTATGTAATCTCTCCATGATTTTCTTTTAGCTTCTTTGATGGTTCTGCTTGCTATTGCTCTATTCAGTTTGAATAGATTTAAATTATGGGTATTAAATTTTCATAGTGCTGCTCTACATAATCTTATTGCCTTTTTGCAATCATTGTCAAATCATGGTCTTAGATGTTTATTTGATTTAGTGCTGTTTGGTATACATTTTCTTGTAATTGCTACTAATGTTTCAGAGAAATATTCAATAGATTTTTTTCTTGTTGTCTTTGTTAGTGTTTGACATTATTGGTTTTTATATTCCCTCCAGTCTGCTTTGTTTAGTTTCCATCAAGGGAGATGGTTTTCAGTTGGTTCTGAACTCTTCTGTATAATTGGGCAGCGATCACTACCGCTTGAATCGAACCTGTACTTGATGCAGGATGTAGATATATGTTAGACTTATCATTTAGTAAACATGTCATTGTTGTTAATTACATTTTTCAGGTTTTTCCCCTATTTGTCAGAGTTCATAGATCCCCATATGACACTGTGACTGCTAAAGTCACTTAATAATATGAATGGTTCTAGTAGTTGTTCTATTAGCTTATTCAGATCAATTTCTTTTATGGGGTCATAAGGCGGGATGTAAATAGAGCAGATGTTAACGCTTTTATGTAGGGTAGTTTTTGTAGCAACTGCTTGTAGATTGGCTTCTAGAAGTATTTTACTTTGGACGATGTCATTTCTGATTAGGATTGATATGTTCCCAGATGCCTTCTGTTGAGTGTCATGTATGTAGTTATAGTGAGTATAGTTTTTTTTATTTTATATTTTGATTTTAATGTTTATTGAAGGCAAATGACAGTGGAAGTTGATTTGTTGAGTAGTAATTCATTTATGCTTACTTTTAGGCCTTGACAAATCAACTGTATAATTTTTTGCATCATGCGTATGTATCAGGGTGTTTGTCTGGTTTATGTTTAGTAGGTGAAGTTTCCATAATTTTTATGCTCTATGGTCTGTTAGCGCTTTGTTTTTTGTCATGTTTTGCTCTTCAGATGTCTTTTGTTTCTGCTTGGTCTTGTTTGATTTGTTTTTCCCTTAGTTTCTTTTGGTGATCTTTCGATGATGGTTGTTCTCTCATTTGAGGTGGGATACAGTTTTGTTCATCTATGTCCATTTCTCTTAGTTCTTCAGTGATGTACTAGGTTGTGTTATTTCTTTTATAAACCTTTTGATTCTCTTGAGAATGACTGGAGGGTTCTATTTCTTGACGGATTTTTGCATGTTGGATTGGGGTTTTCAGAATTATTTGCTTTGTACTTATAGATTCTTTATTGTTTGAGGTCAACAGGATAGGATTTGTTTTGATTATGGGTATTTGGTTTATGTGTGATGTACTAAATTTTAGTAATTCTATTAGATTTTTTTTTTTTTTTTAATTTATTAGTTGTACAGTGTTGGTTTCTTATTGTGTTGTTCTCTTGTATGCCATTTTGAGGATTTGTTTTTTAGTAGTATTTGCATACAATGTTGGAAGTGAGTTACTTTCAACCTGTTTTC